GTCTCCAGGCCTTGCCTCTTTTGAAAAATCACTGAATTAAAATTTGGACTGGGATTACCTAAGGCTGATAACTTTGTATTTACTCAGACCTGTGTATTTGACCTGATATTTCATTTTAAGTTCCCATGCCTGTTCAGTGATATATTTATTATTCTGCAGACTGTTATATTACTTCAAGAAATATTGATTGAATGCCTACTGTGTGCCAGGCAGTAGTCTAAATTCATGGAATTTATAAATTAAGCTTATACTTTGCCCTTGTGGAGTTCACATTGTTTAGTCAGATTTGAACATCAATGGTAATTAGCACTCTTTATCTCAATGGACATTCCCCAGCCGTTAGCCTTCTTGGGTCCCATTTTTTTTTTAAGTTTTAACTATTTACTCTCTTGTTTTTTGTAACATGTACAATTGTGTCTTCTGATCCCTTCATGAATTTTCGAAGGAATAAGTAAATATTTCTCAAAATGATTATTTTTTTATCTTAGTAGAATGTATCATCATTGTCCAATAGCTATTTTTAAACCTGTGTACTTGTTGCCTTCCCTGAAGATTGGTTATTTATATTCTGTTCTTTGAAATATTGGTTATACTATCTGCCTTCTTAGCCAATGGGCAATCATTCTCTTATTTAGATATTTTTATTTATAGCATTTTTGAGATAATACCAAAAGAATTACACTGCACAATATAAATATGACATTTAAAGTATTAGTATATCTTTTAAACTTTTGAACATAAATTACACAGAATATCCTAACAGAATTTTATATTTGCTGCAAGTTTTTAACATATTCTTCCAAATGTCATATTCATATGACACCTTTTATTCTGTTTTACAGTAGAATCCCAAAGATATTTGTTTTACTCTTAAGCTTTATATGATACAGTTTTTTCTTCTGTTTTAAACAAATTGTAACGTTTAATTTGGGGCATGTGTGTTCATTTTGTTCATTAGAAGACAGGAAGATAAAAAAAAGAAGTTCAAAGTAACATCTCAGAATACCAAATATTTTTCATATCAATGAGCTGCTAGTTAAAAATGGAATCCACCTAGTATTTTTTCACTTCTTCTAATGCAGTTACATAAAAAGATAAAACCCTTTGGGAATATCTGAATGACACTGTTCTATTTTACCATAGCCAAGTCTAAATAAATTTGTAATCTAGTCTAAAATTTAGAAGAACTTAGAAAAGAAAGTGTTCCTTCCATATGGGAAGTCTTCTTTGAAGGTCTTGGCTTCTGTTGGATGTTGCACCAGAATTATGCACACATCTTTTACTTCACTAAAAATGTGGTCCCTTCCATAGTTCTTGTGACATTGCAGTATACCAGAACAAGGTTATGGCTTATTGCAGAGTCTTGGACATGCCTGTCATAAAGTTTGTAGCAAGTAAATGTGTGTGAATGTGCATGTATGAGCAAACTCTTGTTACATGCTATGGCTTTGATTTTTCTGCTTCAGTTTATTTCTTTTTAAATGCCAAAAGGTTTTATAATATTAGTTTTTCTCTACAATAAGTGATCATTTGATTCTGATCATTATGATCATTGTAAAGAGTTATCTGTGAGATATTTTCTTTCATTTTTAATTGGTAAATAATAATTGTGAAAACTTATGGAGTGAGATGTGCTCTTTTGACCTATATATACATTATGGAAAAGTTCATTTAAGGTAATTAACATAGTCATCAGTTTACCAAGCTTTTTTGGTGAGAACATTAAAACTCTATCCTTTTTGAAATTTCCCCCCCCACACACATATATAATATTACTAGCTTTAGTCAACATGCAGTGCAAGAGATCACTTACATTTGCAGTCTAACTTAACTTTTGCATCCCCTTGTCAAGATCTTTCATTTTTCCCTTATATTTTCTTCTCTGTTGTCTTTGATAAATACCTTTCAATCTTTTGTTTCTGTGAGATCAAGTTTTTGAGATTTACCTGTAAGAGACATCTGTATTTGTCCTTCTGTTCCTAACTTATTTAATTTATAATGTCTTTCATTTTTAGGTTGTCACAAATGAAATAATTTTCTTCTTTTTTGATGCTATATAATATTCAATTGTTTGTATGTAGCACATTTTCCCTTTCTGCTCATCTATTGCTGAAGACTCAGGTTTACTTTATATCTTGACTATTGTGAATATTGATGAAATGAACATAGGAGTGCAGGTTCTTTGTTGACATTTTGATTTCATTTCTGTCTAGTCTCTTTCCTCTTCAGTGAGACGCAATACCTAACACCTGCAATTTAAAAGGAGAGATTTATTTTGGCTCACATTATCTGTATGTACCTCGTTGAATGGCTCTATAGCAGAAATGTGTGGTAGAAAGGTATGGTTGAAGAAATCTGCTCAAATCATGCTAGCCTGGGATCAGAGAGCAAAGGGAGGAGCTGGGGATCTGACCCTCCCATTATGCTTGGCTTACAACAGTCTAGGGCTACTCTTGTGAGCATCTTTTAACCTTTGTAAACTCCTCCTGTGCACAACTTCCAAAGGTTTCTGAACCACATCTCAGGTAGTCACAGCAAAAGGCTTAGTAAAGATAAAATCTGTCTTAGTCACTTTCCTTATTGCTGGGACAGAATCCTCAATATTCACAACTTAAAGGAGGAAAGGCTTATTTTGACTCACAATTTTAGAATGTATTGTCATCTAGCTCCAAGGCAGAAATGGCATGGTGGAAAGGCCTAGTGGAGGAAAGCTACTCAAGTCATGGAGTCTAGGAAGTAGATAGTGAAGGGAGGAGCTGGGGAAATAGACATATTCTTCCAGGCCATGCTCCATTCCCATTGGCCCACCTTTTCTAAGCAAGGTCCACCTCCAAACAGCATATGAGCCATGAACTTGTTAGTGGACCAATGAGTAAAGAGCTTCCATGATCCAGTCGCCTTCCAAACACATGAAACTTTGGGGGAACCTTCATATTCAGTCCACAACAAATTCCTCAAGATTTATGCACAGGTGTGAGACTGCTGGATCATATCGCAATTCTCTTTTCAGTTTTTTTTTTTGAGGAATTTCCATACTATTTTCAGAAATGGCCTCACTAATTTACTTTGCCACTGCAAGCTACATGTTTAGTTTTGTTTCTTTTCTTAGTTATAAATTGCTAAAATACTGTATATCTATTTCAATAAGATCTGTGTATTGCTGTGGTAGTTGTTCATTATTATTAAAATTTGCTTTTTTATTTTTGACTTGTAATAAAAACATACAGATAAATTTTAAAAATCAAATGAAATCGAGTGGAACTTACAATGAAAAGTACCAGTCCTTTGCTTTGGCAACTTAGTGTATTTACAGAGAGACTGTGAGTTTGGGGTACTAGCATTTACGTTTCTATATAATACGCTTACTGACATTTCTGGAGTTATCAATTTGAACATTACTTTTGAATAATGAAAATTAGAAACTTCTGGCAGAGAATATTATGTTAAAAAAGTGAAGCGAATGCTAAAATAGTAGGGATCTGCAGAGCATGCTTTGAGCTCAAGTAGCATGTTAAATCTTTCAAATTGTTCATGAATAAGTATATCATTTATGTTTTCATTTGCAAAAACAAAATAGTTCTCATCTTTTCAAATTCTTGCATAGTCCAGCATTCAAATTTATGCTATTCCCATGATATAGAGTGGCAGTTCACTGGTTGTTTAATTGGTGTTTTCCCGATTTTTAGTGATTTATACCTTTGCTGTCTCTTTTTCTTTTAATGTTGCTTTTTTGCAGTGCTGAGTATAGAACCCAGGATCATGGATAATAATTTTTTTTTTTTTGTACTGGGGATTGAACTCAAGACCTTACACTTTTGAGACAGGCAGTGGCACCACTGAGCTTAATCCCCAGTCTTCCTTAAATAATTTTGAACTATACTGGCTTTGTCTTCTAAAAACTTCCTATTCATGTGTTTTGCTCATTTTCTTTTACTTTTTCTGAGTGTAATGATAATTCCTTGTTGGTTTTAGGTCCTTTTCAGTTTACCTATAATATTTACTTTGGAATTACTAGACATTTTTTTCTAAGGAGGTTTGTAATTTTTTTTTAAATATCTAGAATTTATAGATTTATTTAACAGAAATTGAAATATATGAATATAGGAAATGGTAAATAATCTGATACTAGAAAATAATTTAGATTTATATTTTAACAAGAAAGTTTTTTCATTTGGTAACATATAGAAGGAAGAAATTAATTATGAAAAACAGATTAACAAAATGAAAAGGACCTATTTATTTTCAAAGCTTTGTTAAAAAATGTGCAAATGGAAACAATAAAATACTAATATATAAACAGAAGTTTAAATTATATTAATACTTATAAGTAGGAGTTACTGTAATAGCTCTAATGAGTTGAAATTTTGTCTGGATCAAAATCCATTTAATATAGATGCACTACTAAGTCTTGTACAGGACTTGGGCTTTCAGTATGCATATTTTTGCCTAAGTCATCCAGCATAACGAAGAAACTAGAAAAACACTGATTGAATAGGAAGTAGAACTGGGAAAAAAAAATTCAAATAAGCATGGAAGTAATAAGTGCTACATTGTAATTTAAGGAGAAAATTATTACTACTAACTTGTTAATTGTGGAAAGGCCTACAAAGCTAATTAAGCATATGTTGAAGAAGCAATTGAAAACAGTCACATATTCTGTTGGGAACTTTGAGACACAAATAATTTTATTCTGTGAATTAAATAATCAAAAAATTTAAACCTTCCAAATCCATGTAAAAGTAGGAAATGAAATTTGTATCTTTTTAAATTATATCACGTGATGTCTCTGTAGTCCTTATTGTGCTGCAAACAATAACTTTAAAATTCAAAATTATAATGTACCAAAATAATTTTAATACACGTTTGAAAATTTACAGTGTGATGAATATGTTAAAATTATTATTTGAACATGAATGTTTTATTACATCAGTGCATGAATTGTTAGATAAATTCAAAGTTAATTTTTCAAAGTAGTAACTATTATTTTTCTGAATTAATAGGTATATTCTAATGTGATGCTGGGATTGAATTTGCCTAGAACTCTATTTCAAGATTGACTCTAAAGTCTTTTGGGCGATCTGGAAGAAATACGTAAGTGTTCTTTTGGTAGTGATTATCTTAAGATCACTGTGCCTATTTTCGTTTTTGTAATGTTTACTTTACACCTTAACATTCTAGTTAATTAGATAATTAATTAGGTTAATTAAAAAATCTTTCTGGGAACTACAGAACAAGTGATTGTGTGGCAGAAGGGATGTTTATTAGTGTTTCTGTTGTTGGGCTGCCCATTTTGTTCCTTGCTCTTCACTGTTTTACTATGAAACTTGGCCTTGTTTTTTTTTAAAAGTGGCATGAGTGTGTCAGAAATACTGATTTTGAGATACTGAAAGGAAATGATGAAGGAAAACACTTGTTACCATTAAGATGGTCTCTTATAAATTGTACTTTAAATATTACTTTTAAAAACCTCAGTTGATATTGAGGTTTTTGGAGATTTCAGAAATATTGAGAGAATAATGAAAAAAAAAGAAACACTAGCAATGATTTTCTCCCAAAGTTTGATTTTTCTTATAAACATTTTGTGACTCAGTAAATCATCTATTAAAAAACTATTTGTTTTCTTTTTGAAGTTACACATCTTTAATATACTGGTTTTCCTTAATATTTACAATGCATTCACCAAGGTAATCAGGCTCCAGGAGCTTCACTTTCTGTTAAAATTGTTTCAGCCATTGTAAAGCTTCCTCAAAACAGAAGCCCCATTGATGCTCTGAAAGATTCTTGTGACAGTGCCTTAATTATAGTCACAACTTTGTCAGTTGTTTTAGTTATACATTTACTTTTGTTACCACTTTATCATTATATTTGATGCACAAATAAAATGATTCCACACTTATCTAGCACTTAAGATTTTCAAAGCAGGTTTGCAACTTTTGTCTTCATTTTTCTCTTTGGCCTTATGATGTATGTAAGGTTGAGATTATCAATCTTTGTTTGGTAAGTGGAGAAATTAAAAGACAAGGAATAAAGTGATTTGAGAAAACTAGTAGCGCTTATTGTAATTTTATAATTCAAAATAAACAAGTGTTATTAGAACATGTATTTTCTAACACTCAGATTTTTGAGTGGGAAGAAGAAATTAGTATGCTTAATGTACATTAGGGTTGTATTGATACACTCCATCTTTGTGAAACCTTTTGATAATAAATTTCTCATTATTTGAATTGTGGGATGTTTATTTTTATAAGAGCAGAGAGAGTTTTTATTTGTACTAAGTAGGAAATACTACCTAACAATGGACGTCGTGGAACCTTGAGATAAATTATTTTTAAAAGATATGGAATCTTCTTCCCAGGAGAGAACTTAATTGCATTTGAAGTTAGTTCTCAAAACTGCTTCTGGAACTTGCTAATTAGAGTTTCACTAGTTATGTGCTTACGGTGGCAAGCTTTTTCTAAAAATTCTTAGATGAACACTAACCACATATTGGTGTAAATAATGCATATGCATAATGCCAAAGGTTCCTCTTAATGGGAAAGTGCATTCTGAAAAAGCATTTATTCTTGGAAATTTATAAAATTATTAACTCTTTATCTGAAGAAATTATGATAAGAGTGAAATGATGGTGGGTCAGTTTCGAGGGCCCAGCTGATGTGCTATTACATCCTTGCAGTCATCTGTTAGTTTTCTTATTAACCTAGATTAATTTCATTAAATCTTTACATTTCAGCTTTCAAATTTTAACGAAGGACCAATATACCTGTTTTTTTGGCTCAGTGTTAAATTTAGTAGTTGGTATATAGCTATTTTAAAAAAACATCATCTTCTCTTTCAACATATTTATTACCTTCCCTCCAAAAAAGAAAAAAAATTCCTAGAAGGGAATACTTGGTTGTATCTTTCTATTTTCAAACAGTTGTTTAGTTTCATTCCCCTTTTTATCTTTCCAAAAGAGTAACATTCCCTTTTAAATGCTTCTAAAATGGAAAGCAAATAATTGCTTTCATACAGTTGATAAGGAAGAGCATTTGCATTTGTGGTACATGGGTAAATGAGGAATTGTGTGAAAGCCTGTGTGTGTGTGTGTATTAAGTATATTTTCTTGTCGATGTTGTTAGTTTGAAGTTCCTTTGCAAAAGAATCAAATCAAAATAGTATTTTGGTTTTAGTTATTTCAGTGGAGTACATAAATTTATTCACATATTTATAGAAAATATAAATTTTTGTCTTTCTAATTTTGTTGAAAAGTAAATCGACTATGCAGGAAGATAATTTGTCTGAGGGGGGGCTACATCAGTAATTCAAATACATAATGCACTGACATTTCTTGGTAGAAAGAAGCAAAGTGTGTAAGACTGCAAATCTAGGCACCATAGAGTGTAGCTGTTGAGAACACAGTAAGGAAGTCACATTGTCTAAGTTTAAATGCTGGTTCTAAAACAAACCCATCACATATAAAACCTTGTATGAGTCACATACGTTCTTCAATCCTCAATTTCTTAACATAGTACAATAGAAATGACAATAAGAATTTTAGAGATGAACACTTAATATAAGAATACATATAAAGAAATAGTCAAAAATAAAATATGCCAGTTGCTATTTTGTTTCTTATTATATTAGTTTCTAAGAGAGAATGTATTATTCAGGCCACATGGAAACCACTTTGCATATATTCTAATCTCGGTTCAACCACTGGTTTTACAAGAAATGCTACATTGAGTCAATTTTGTGTCTCAGTACTGCCAACTATAAAAATGTAAGAACAATAAAAATTTATTTCTCACAGTAATGAAGGCTGGAAGCACAAGATTAGGGTGAGAACCAGCATCTGTCTATTCCTGGTAAGGACTATCTTTCAGAGTCCAGACTGCCAAATTTTGTGTTTATTCATGTCAGAGAAAAACTAGAATACCTCTTGGTTCTTAGGAAAACACTAAACTCTTTTGTGAATATGCCATTCTTAGGGCCTAATTACCTTCTAAAAGCCCCCTACTACCATTATTGTAGGATTTTAACATACACATTTTGAGGTAATACAAACGTTGCATTTATTTTATTATTATTTTTTTTTTTACAGAAAATAACTTTATTCCAAGGGCCAGAGAGTATTTAAAATTATTTACATATTAAATCATGTGGTGGGGCCAAGCCCCAGCTCAGCTGCGAACAGCCCCTTCTGTACAGCTGCCAAGGGCCCGAGGTGTCACCATGTGTGGGCTCCACACCCTTTGTCCTGTGGTTATGTTGCCTCTGGGGAGGCCACCTTGGCCCCAGCAGGGTGATGCCTCTCAGGCCTGAAAGGTTCTCTGTCATGGGCCTGGCTCTGGGCCTGGCCGAGCAGGAGCCACCAGGGGCTGGAGGAGGGAGGGAGAACAGATCACAAGTGGGCAGAGTCCGATTTGAAGGCAGGCATGTGGCCGCTCCTAGCTCTACACATCCAGGGAGTAGCGGCCCTTGGACATGAGCTTCCTGACTTGTTCTCTGTGTGTTGGATAGAATGTGCATCCATTTTCTATTATTGTGTGACAAGTTACCACACAGAAGCTAAAAACAACATACATTTATTGTCTCAGTTTCTTCTAATCAGAAATTCAGACATGCCTTAGTTCAGGGTCTTAAAAAACTTCAGTATAAATGTCTGCCAGACTGCATTTTCATTTCTCCTTTAGCTTCCTCTTCCAGCAACACTGGTTCTCACTAAATTCAGTTCATTATAGTTGCTGGACTGGGATCCTTCTAAAGGTCACATACAGTTCCCATTCATGGGCATTTTCCACACATAGTTCACAGCATAGCAGCTTGTTTCTTTAAAGCTTTAACTTCTTTAAAGTTTCTAGCAGGAGAAACTGCTACATGCTAGCAAGATGGTGTAAAACATGCACATATATCTGTAGAGATAAATATGTACCTTAAGTAATCATTGGCTGACATTCCCATTACCTTTGCCATATTGTTTTTTAGAAACAAGTCACAGATCTTGCCCTCGCTTTAAGGGAGAGAATTACACAAGGTATGAATATGAGGGCAGCCAAAGGTCTAATACAAGACGTTAAGCTTTGCAGCTGAAATCTCATGTAACCTGTTATTTTAAATGTTTATAATTGTATTTAATAAAACAGAAGTATTGTCACTGATTGTAAAATTTTATTCTCAGATAGTTATTCTTACAATATAACTCCCAACCAACTATTCCTCTTGGCTAAAATCCATCATTTCAAGATGGCTGAATCTACCATACTAAACACAACCTAGCCTGGTACTGTGCTCTCCAGCATCTGGCAAAGTGCAAATGTCTTATCTTTGCTCCCCATTAATCTCATATATATGCCCTGACAAGTGCCTTACACTTGCGCATACATTTATTTAAATTTATTTCTCTCCCATTATATTGTTCTTGTTTCTTCCTTTGTCCTTTTTAACTAGCCAAAGATTTTCCTGCATCATACCCCATCACATTATATCCAATCTGATGTTACAGTGAATTGATAATTTGCCTCATTTCCTTGCTACTAGGAGAGATGGGGGTGGGTACATTCATCCATGTGTTACATGCAGCCAGTATATAAAAGTATTTTCAGAAGCATTCTCTGCATGTACAAAATATATTTTCTATTTATAACAGTGCTTTAGATTTGAAACGTGCATCTTCGTAGACATAGGACTTAGGACTAAGGCTGAACCATCCAGCTAAACTATTCCTGGGTTCTGACTGATTCTTTTTTTTTTTTTTTTTTTTTTTGGTGGTACTAGGGATCGAACTCAGGTCCTTGCACTTGTGAGGCAGGCCATCGAACCGCTGAGCTAAATCCCCGGCCCGACTGATTCTTAATAATTGTGAAATATTTACTGTTTTTGTTCTAAAATCCTGACTTTTGGGGTAATTTGGTCATAAAGCAATTGATAACTAATATATTATAAAATGTCCTAGAACTAAAATATTTTCATGAGTTACAGCATTGTCGTTTCCTTTGGAGAGAATGCAGAATATGTGGTCTTGCAAGCAAATGTAATGGGAGAGCAAGCACGTATATTTATAAAATAGTGAATGAAGTGAGAATAAAATTGGAAATGTTTAAATTTCTTCTGAA